GAACACTTAGAAACAAAAATGCTGATAATATATCGAAAAACGAATACAGTGCAGGGAATATATTAAAATATATACATAAACAAAGATTTTCAGAACATTAACGGCATTAAGATCACTTTATGCTACCTTTTATTTTCATGAACTTGTATATTTATGCGATAGTTCTATTTAAGTTAAAGATTCCTACTGATATTTGTTAAAGTCACTATATAAATATTATTACACTTTATTAAATAAAATAAAATTATTTAGATAGAAAAATGATATACTGTATTATAGGGGCCTACATGTACAAAGATTTTCAGAACATTAACGGCATTAAGATCACTTTATGCTACATTCTAATTTTCATGAATTTGTATTCGATTGTTATAGTCCTATTTAAATTAAAGAGCATTTTTACCACTCACGGATCGTTATTAATTAATTAATTAAAATACTTATTTTATTTACATTATTGAGTGTGGGTTGCAAAAACATGTGCCTACGACAATAACTGTACGGTATGTCATTGTACAACACATCTTTAGCTCCGTTATGTTGTTACTGTTGTTTATAATATCATTCAGATATTCCTGTTTAATGCCATTGTTTTACAGCCAAATTTTAAGAATCGCTATGTTGTAAAATAGTCCACAAAAATAATGAAAAATACTCTCTACAAACCAATTTTGGAGCACAGCCTCTGGTCTGAAAAATCTAGGCCTGAACAACAACACAACAATGGATGCCGCAATTAAATCTAACACCATGTAGGTCTACAGGCTTGTACAACAGTACACGCTTTACTTACCTATATGTACATTTTCCAAACTTAGAAGAAACAACCATTCCGAAATTCAATATTTTAGAGAAGATGTTTTTAGCGACGACTTGCCTACGATACCGGTATACAGTAGTTCACGTACAAGCTTGCTTTCACCGTAATTTGGGTGTTATCAGACAGGTGTACAACCAACCAGGTCTCTGAAAGCAAATTAAAATGTCATTTTATCATCATACGATTTATCAGACTGTTGATTTTGTGTTGCGTGGGTATGTGTGCCTGTTGTTTGATCCAAATTTGTGGAATTGGGTTTATAATATTTTCATGAGGAGCAGGCCTGGTATTTCCCCTGGGACATTTCCCCCTGACTTTTCCTCCCCCAGCACAATTTCCCCCTGGACTTCTGCCCTCCCCTTTACATATTCTCATATTTAATTCAATTATACAGTTTAGTTTACAATAGGCCTACATTTTAATTTTTTAATTTACCTATATTTAAGGAAGTATTTGTTCCTACGATATTCCTTATTCAACAGGAATTACAAAGACCTAAAATTCAAAAAGTGCTATGATTAGAAATGTTGCTCTGGCTTTTAAATTCTATTGTCTCTCTCCCTTTTCTATACAACAAATATGAAGCTTTTTTTGGATGGACAGTGCAAGTTCATTTCTTATATTATTTTGATACTTTGTTACCAATATTTGTATAGATATTTTCCATGTTATCATTATTTTATGCCATTTTTTTAATAACTGAAAAAAAAAATTGGTAAAAGGAAGAAATCATGTAAATTTTGTTGTTACTTGTGCACTTGGGCTATTAAGATTTAATAAAAAAGATGGTGTAATTCTTGATGTTCTTGTATTTAAACTATTTTTTTATTTAACGCATGAGGGAGTCCGAGGGAAATTGTCCTAGGGGGTAAAAAGACCGGGGGATAATGTCACAGGGAAAATGTCCGCTGCGGGGGAGAGAATACCGGGAGAAATATCCAGGGGATCCCTCCAGAAAGAAACCAGCCTCCATTTTCATGATCTGCTAATAGGTAACAGAACAATTATAATTGTAATAGTGCCCTCAAAATGACCAATGCTATGCAAATATGGAACAGCAAAACATGCAAAAAGCAACACTTTCTAATCAGAGCCATTATAGGCTCACACCCACCAGGGCGGCTATCCCCTGGCCTGTCATATTTTAATTTTTTAATTTACCTATATTTAAGGAAGTATTTGTTCCTACGATATTCCTTATTCAACAGGAATTACAAAGACCTAAAATTCAAAAAGTGCTATGATTAGAAATGTTGCTCTGGCTTTTAAATTCTATTGTCTCTCTCCCTTTTCTATACAACAAATATGAAGCTTTTTTTGGATGGACAGTGCAAGTTCATTTCTTATATTATTTTGATACTTTGTTACCAATATTTGTATAGATATTTTCCATGTTATCATTATTTTATGCCATTTTTTTAATAACTAAAAAAAAAAAAAAATTGGTAAAAGGAAGAAATCATGTAAATTTTGTTGTTACTTGTGCACTTGGGCTATTAAGATTTAATAAAAAAAGATGGTGTAAATCTTGAAGTTCTTGTATTTAAACTATTTTTTTATTTAACGCATGAGGGGGTCCGAGGGAAATTGTCCTAGGGGGTAAAAAGACCGGGGCATAATGTCACAGGGAAAATGTCCGCTGCGGGGGAGAGAATACCGGGAGAAATATCCGGGGGATCCCTCCAGGGAGAAACCAACCACCATTTTCATGATCTGCTAATAGGTAACAGAACAATTATAATTGTAATAGTGCTCTCAAAATGACCAATGCTATGCAAATATGGAACAGCAAAACATGCAAAAAGCAACACTTTTTAATCAGAGCCATTATAGGCTCACACCCACCAGGGCGGCTAACCCCTGGCCTGTCATACTCTAAAAAAAACAATATATTCAAAGATGTTGGTGAGGCACACAAGAGATACGAGATCACTTTAATCAGCTACATCAGCCGTGCACATGTGCGCATCAGTTCACCAGACGAGAAAAACCTGATTGATCAATATGTTGGCTACATAATCGGCAAGCCGATCCAAGGGATGCATACTTACACTTATCTTGCGCAACATTTTATTGCGTGCGAATCTGGTAAAGTATAAACACCACAAATGATATTAAATTTAGTGATAATAAAGACAAATTCTTAGAATAACTTATTGTCACCATACGCAATATCTTCGATTATTGTTTGGCTGCTCAACCAAGCAAGATACAAGGGCAAGTTTGTATACTCCTTAAGATTTTCCCATTCAACTTTGAATTCAATGGAACGTTGTCACTGCGTCGTACGACGGTCATGCGACCGTCGGTCGACGAATCCAACTGCGTTCACAGTGAGCATAGCACTAGACGACGCGAAGCCGTCTGCTGATTGTGGGTGGCAGTCTGAACGGATATCCTCTTTAAATGATGGGATGCGCGCGCTTCGTGTCGTTGCCTTGTACATAGAATCGCGTCGTCCGACGACCGTCGGTCGCAGAGGGCCCCCCCCCCCGCTTTAGAGACATGACACAATTATCACAGTTTGTTCATACCTTCTGTACTGTGCTTTCTTTATTCTGATAGATTCAACTTTACATTATAAACCTGTTATTGTTAGTGTTACACCTCTCAAGATAATTCTTGATTTTGCTACACATGCATTCTCATTTTCACTAGTTGACAACTGTTGAAGACCCTTCACTATACTTAACTTCCAATATGTTTCTGTAACAATATTTTCACTAAAATCATTACTATACCTTTAGCTTCAATATGTTTCTGTAGATATATTTCATTTATTAGACTTTAAAAACCCAATTTTGATAGATAACTGGAACCTAGGTCAGAGTTATTTTCTTCTCCAATATTAGCATTATACTGTATGGATAGAGTATAATCAAATAATATATTTCAACCTAATTATGTACATGGAGAAATGACAAGGTCACACGACCAATTAAGTCATTCATTTCAGGTTTGTGTGTCAAGGTAAATACAATTAAAAATGGAATACTTAAAATACTTAATAATTAAAATAAATCTATTTTTTTTTGGAGGACAGGAAGATTTCATTAACTAACTGTACACTCAAAAACATAAAAAAATTTTTTTACTTTTATGGCACTTAATTTTGTTATAGAATACTAGGATGAACAGAAATCATATACAGTACACATTAAATGAGAATTATATTTAGACAATGAATAGAATATTCATTTCATAATGGAGATTATTGTAGTAGGGCTATAGCACAATGTTTTTAATACTTAATAATAGATATGGATTTATGCTGTTTTGTATTTATTTGATGTAAATTAAAGTTATTACGATATAGTTTGTTCAAACATATTAAGCATTTAACAAGAACTGGACATAAATATTTCAGTTTTAAAAACATTTCTTAAATACAGAACAGCAGGACATGACATTACTTACATTATGGAACACAGCATAATTAAAACAAAATAATTAACAAAATTTAATAAAAATTGTTGAATTATTGATAATAATGATTAATATTAATAATCCTACACATCAAAACACAACCAGTCAATGTATCAATTTGTATAGCACTGCAATCAAAGTTTGTTGGTACTAAAAACATTAAAAAATGAAAAATTTCAATGGACACATCAGCTTGAGGGAAAGAAAATTATGAATTCCTATTCGCACATTATGAGGGCTCAACTGTGATAAAAAACAAAGATCTTTCAAGCAACAAGTTTTCTTGAATAAAGACTATTATACAGTAGGCCCAGTATACAAAATTTGGTTAACGTGCACTTTAAATACCCCAGTACATCTTTTGAGATGAGTAGGGGTTACCCCAGTTTACTGGTCCATACAGCCCTTGCTGCAGACAGACTGGAGTAGCTCAGACACAAAGAGGCCCTTTGGGGAGAAGCAAGTTACTGTAGGCCATCTACCCCATTACATTTATTTGCATATATAACAAAATATATTCAGCAAAATTAAAGTTAAAATAATTCAAACTAAAGTAACTTACATTCTATAAGACACAACTATAATATATTCTCGTTTACAGAGAAGTAGAAGACGATAACAGCTAAGAGACATGTTATGTTCTCTACAAATGCATGCTAAGTCTTTGATGCTAACAACATTTGTAGCATCACACTAGTAAAACAAAATCATCTAAATATGTACATACATACATATTAATTATAATTGCATTGATCAGCATATAAATCGGAAAATATAACATTTCTTTTGTCAAGTTAAAGTTACGTGGAAAATAAACAGTTACGAAAGAAAAACATTCATTAACAGTTATAATTGGTAGCTGTTTGTATTAAACTGTGTCTGAGTAGTGTATGGTTGAAACGGCAGTTTTGTGCATTTGGACAAACTGGCAAAAATCTCCCTGAGATTAAAGACATTTGTATAGGTAATTGGCAGGCAAAACTGGGATGATATAAACATTTTTGATATGTACATTAAAAAAAAAAAAAAAAAAAAAAAAAAATGAACCTATGAGAGTTCTCAAAAGTGGATTGAGGTTTTCTAACCAACAATTTTGATAATGCAATATTTGGAGCAATTTCTCCTGAGTAGAGTTACTATACTACTCAATGCCGTTACTCTGTACACAAAAATAAGCCCTGAAATATTAAGTGTCTTTAGTTGTTTCATTGTAATAATATATCTATAAAAATAGTAAAAAAAATACTAATAATAAATAATAATAATACTGTATAACAATAAAAAAAAATATAAGTAATAATACACAATACATTTAAGTTGCTTTGATCTTTGGGTTAAGGCATATTAGTAAGGGATAGAGACTTGTCTTCATAAGATAATTGTTACCAAAAATTACTATCCCTTACCTTGGTATGATGTACAGCAGAAACAGCAAATGTCACTTACAAGTAAATGGCCACTGTAGCAACACTGTGTACCTGAAGTAACCCTATGCTAATAATACTCTTTACTTGCAGAAGTATTAGAAAAATTGTATAAAACTTATTCATTACACTGTTCTGTATAACACTAAAATAAATAAAGATGTTAGTAACAGTGACGATGATGATGAAAATGATAGTCATAACAACAATGATTATAATATCAATAACAACAGTAATAAAATCAAGAAATCCTAGAAATTAGGAAGTTTACATAACTACCATGAAAACTTAATAATTATATAGGCTGATATTTATTATGATGTTAGTATTTCTGCAAGTGTTTACAAACATTATAAAGCTTGAACAGCCACAATATTCAAAGGGCTGACTGTGTAGCTTTTGACCAATCATGTGAAACACAGGGGTGCATAGTAGTAGTTCATAGGTCAACAGTTCAAAGGGAGCCTGGGATCAATCACTAGATGTGGGCGTCAAGTTGAGTTTGTTGTGTGGAAAATTGGATACGTTTGTGTCTGATTCGGAGTCATCAAGATCCGGCATTTCGTCACTTTCTGAAAAACTGATTTCATCCACTGTTGGCATAGAAACAGTAATTGGCATATCTTGTCGTTCCATCTCAGCCTCTGTTAAAAAAAGCAAGCAAAAGGTGATGGCAACTGATGTGTATATGAATATCATATTTAATGAAATAATATTAATAATAATATTCAAGAATTAATACCATGCCTTTGCCAAGGGATACAAGTTGCAAAAAAATTTATAAAAAAGATAACAATTGGTGATCAACAAATTCACCTGATGAAACAAACATTAAACAATGAAAACAGAAAAATTGGACAGTTTTGAGAGATCTAGTTTAGGAATAAACATTTCTTCAGAAGCCAACAAAAACCAAGAAAACAAGAAGCATTTCGTATATCGCTGGGAAGACTATTCTGGAGCCTAGGAAAAGCAATTTATAAGGCCCTATCACCAGATTTCTTATTAGACTGAGGTATATAACGGCAAGAGGAACCAGATGAGTGGAGATTATGACCATATCAATATTGTTGCCTAGAGATAAGTAAACAAATTCAAGTAGGAGTACTGCCATATTAGGGACTAAACACCCATAGGAGGCAATGGCTAAAATAATTCTATTACAGACATGTTTATCCACAACAATATATTGTTTCCGCAAACCCAAATGTATTATCAAAGCCAAAAGATTTCTAACCTGGTTCTGGTGTTGGGAGTTCAAAGCTGACTCGTCTTGCTGGCACCGGTTCCAAACGGGAGATCATAGCGGCAAGGTCGGTGAATTGAGTTGGTATCTGTTTCTGTTTTATCGGTGTCTAAATGCAATTATTAAATCAATTATTAAATTAATAAATAAAAAAAATTAATCAATCTATCAATTTATAGATCACTTTTGTTTTATAACAGTTCATCAAAGGAAGCTCGTATATCAATTTTTGTTGAAGAATAAGGTTTATTCAAGTAAATGACTCATCATTTTAAAGCTTATATGTAGAGAATATGAATAAATTAAAAAGTTAATTTTTATTTTTTGGCCATTGATGCTGGTTTTGAGATGCCATGCACCATATCGTTATTTACAAACAACTCAAGATTTAAAACATGTGGTGCACTGTACTCATTTAATAAAAATATTTTATAAAATTTATAAAATATCTTCACCTTTGAGGTGCTAGTAACTTGCTTCTCCGTTACTTCTTTGGCGAGCTCAGTGAGGAAACCACTCTTTACCCAGCCAGAGAACACAGTCTGAGCGTGCTCATAACCAACGTCTCTGATCTCTTCAAAACGGTTGAAAGACAGTGTCTTGAATCTTGTTGAAAAAAGCACATGAATGTCAAAGTAGCTTATCATAATATAGAAATTTAATAATAATATAGAAATTTATATAGCGCCTTTTGCCAAAGGATACAAGGCGCTTAGAAAAGGTTTATTGTAGGAAGAGGATTATTTAGGAAATAAATGAGCTTTTAAGAGTTTTTTGAAGAGTTCAGTACTACAAGCATTTCGGATGGAAATAGGAAGATTGTTCCACAGTTTTGGAGCAGAGGAAGAGAAAGATTTATCACCAGCAAGTTTGTTGGATTTGGGAACAGATAAACAGGAACCGGAAACAGAACGGAGAGAATATCAGCACACAGTATAAAATTTAAAATAATAATATAAAATAATATTAAAATACAATAATTTAACAATAATAAAAATACTAATAACAAACTACTGTAATAATAAAAAAATAAAAATTAGTAATTAATAAATAAATAATAAAAGTAACAATAGTATAACAATAAATTTATGAAAAATAACAATTTATAACTATAATAAGAGAGAAGAGAACTACTTAAATACAACATGAGTTAGACTTGATGTGTTATGTATTATAGCAGATGTGCATGTTAGATCTCAATAATCACAGTAATGACTTAAGTAGTTCCCAATCCGCTACAATTAGAATGTGGTGACAGCACTTTCTCCACATAAGGATAATGTAAAACTATAACAATTAAATATTTAAATAAGAGATCTAAAATCTACGAGAGGCTCACCTATCTATTGGAGGTCTAATATATTCACACATGTCATTCTTCATGAGTTCTTCTTTCTGTTTCATACACGACACATATGCCAGCCTGCTCTGGATGTCACTCATATCAGGAACCTAGATCACAAGCAAATATGTAAAACAATGTTAAAAATAACAAGATAAATGGGGAGTAGGGAGGCTTAGTGAAAAGCGCAGAGGCCTTAAACAAAATGAATAGGTCTTGGGAAAATCGAACAAAAGGCTAAGAGAAAGCAAACAGTGCTCACAGGAAGATAATAACAGCACTTTTTGACAATCTGGGGAAACACTAAATCCAACAAAGCATATTCAGCCGTCCTTGTCTCTGCTGTGGGCCGTAGGTGCATATGTATGTGATGTCTGTATTAACTAGTTTCTTTAGGTGCTCCTTACTTTTGCTTCTGTAAATTTTGGTCTTTTTGGTTTCTTTTGGGCTTTATTCAATTAGAGCAATTTTTTCAGTAGCAATTTAAAAATGAAGTTCTACGATCCTATGGCTGTGATAAGCATACACAATTATAGTGAGTTTTCGCAAGCCTACGAAAACGATAACGAATACGGTAATACAACATCAATATTTTACACAAACCTATCCCTACAGTAGCATGTCTGTCACAATGTAATCAATTCATGCCTTTTGCATGAATCAAGGATCATATGCAGCTCATACAACATATTGTCAAGAATGTTTTAGGCATGAATGACGATAATGATAATGACTATTCGTATTCCTTATCGCTTTAGTAAGGTTGCAAATTCTCTCTAATAAAAACATGTTAGACTTATTTAGAGTTTCATGCCAACAAGGCCTCCAAGTGCTTCACATTATTACCGCCAATGGAACCTAATCTAGCGTGTATTCTGTTATACATTACCTTCACTGTTTCAGCCCATGGGTTCCAACGTTTCCAAAGCAACCACCAGCCTGACAGTTCATCACCATAGTTAGTCAGATTGGTCTCATCTACGCTACCAACATCTACTGCTATCACGGTCTGCGCCCCCATCGCCTTCATGATGTCAGCTAAAAAAAAAGCACTTTAAGGTTAAAGAATGAAGAAATATCGAAAGAAGAAGGGAGAGAGGATGATGAATAATACTGTATAAACAAGACACTGATTGTTGATAATACTGACAGTAAAAAAACAAGTGTGTTAAATAAACCTCTTTAGAGATTATGCTGCCTTTTTTATATATAGTATAGCCTTGTTCTTTTCTGTTAATTAACAGCAATTAAATCTACTTAACTCCTTAATTTTTTCAATAAAATAAGCAATAATCATTGAGATACGGTCTAAAGGCGTATGTTGTTCAATGTTGGGATTACAAGACCTAAAACAATTATTAATGACAGCTGATGATAATATTAAGGAGTGACTGATAATGACAAATGATAATAATGAAGAAAATCAAAATTAAAAACATGTTTATGATTATAAGGTACTCAATGTGGAATGTGCAACTAGTTGCTATTATCAAGCAACAAATCCATCTTGTAGTTTCAAGTGCAGATATCTATGTCAAAGCATATAAACAAACATACTATATGGGCATATTTGCATCTGCATTCTAGTTTTATTACCAGTGAATACTGGATGTAGCAGTCACCACCTACTACATAATATGAAAATGAACAACTGCTAGGCGATAACACTTTATAAAACTGTACATGCTATGTAAATGCTTACATGCCTTTGACCTCCAATATGTCATGTGTTCCCACAAAAAATGGACAAATAGCAAATTACTAAAATATCAGCTGTATATAGCTTTAGAATGAAACATAAAAATTGGGTTAGTTATTCATTTTCTTTCAGCCATAATAAAGCGGTTGGCTGAGAGGTATATACTTGCTAATTGTGCAAACGACCCTCGTTCCCAGCCAGTGTTTAGTTTTAACTGACGTTTATAACGCTTGCCTACGCAAACAACACTCACATAAAAGTTAGGTAGGATAAGAGAGAATATATTTTTTATAAGCTGGTATATGCTCTGCACTGAGGCTACTTTTGCATCCCTAAGGACATGGATACTGGTGCATGCAACAATGTTCGATATTAATAAAATGCAATGACAACAATTTAGTAAGAAATACCAATCTGGATAGTTTAAGACCATGATTAAATATTAACTTGCGACTTGTCACATATTTTGACACAGCAAATTATATAGAAGTGCAGTATAAATCAAATATGCTGTATGCCAATGAAAAGGTCAAAGATTAATTGGGTGGAAATGTGCAATATGGTGGTGATAAAACAAGCATGGTTCCCATTGAAGAAAGGTGATTTGGCAAAAGTACATGTCATAGCTTGATTTTTAAAGAAGGGTGCAGTAAGCTAAGGGATCAAGGTTATGAAAGTTAAAGTGAACATACAATGTTATTAAATTTACATAAGACATAGAAAAAGTCAAGTTGCAGTAACAGTATGAATAGTATTCAAGATAAAAACAGAAAATGTAGTTAAAACAAACATACAAGAATTGTAAAATAAAAGGTGTGTAGCAGAGCTGTTGAAAGCAAGAATAAGATTGTTAGGGTAAAAGCATGTAATGGTACATTCAAGATACTGATCTAATAAAAGTAATACTACCAGCAGACGTGGATGGGTATAATCTAACAAAGTACAACGACAACACAAACATTAACCAGTAGTCTTGCTAACATGCTGCAATGACTGTACCCATAAAACTCAGTGGAAAAATATATCCGACCTAGTGACAGGAAGCGATCGATTGACCTCACCTGGTAGATTATTCACATAACCTCCATCCAAAAGCAGATGACCATCTTTTGGATCGCACAATGGCGGTAAGTAGCCGGAGAGCGACATACTGGCACGGATGTACCGCCACAGCGAGCCTGAAAACAGAACGGTTGATTAATATAAATAATACACCTGGTATTCTACGATATGCAAATTCTCACCTGGCAGATTATTACAATATGCACCGTCCACCAACAGGTGGCCGTCACGAGGGTCACACAGTGGCGGGAGGTACACTGCGACAGACATGCTGGCTCGGACATAGCGCCAAAGCGAGCCTGAAATAGAACAGGCGATATGGTAATGAATGTTGTAGTGCATGGGAGCACATTATAATTTTGAAGTATTATAGGAAACATCCGATGCCAAATTTTGACCAGCAGTATCTGAAAACAGTATTCTAAAAGATAAACCCTATTTATAAGTACACACACACGAGTCATCAAATTGAGGAAAATATGAATTATCACAATCAATAATGGCTTGAGACTAGAAGTCCTAATACTTTAATGATGGTCTATGTACTTTCAGATTTTTGATTTTATTTTATTGTATGTGTTGCTGCACTACAAAGGATAACAATGCCTTTGCACTGATCAGGTCACCTAAGGTAAAGAATAAATAAATTACCAGTTCCATCTCTACGTCACTGGCAGGGTGTAATTCATTGTCGTACAATCATGATTTTATTTATTACCACACAGTAAACCCTACCTGAGGTATGAATTCTCATCTGTGACACACTGATGTCAGTAGTAATAGTGAAATATGGAATCCACAAGTCTTCAATCTGCTTCTCTCCAAACACATCTTTAATGGTCCTGTTGAATCCTCGCCCTGTTCAATGAAAAAAAAAATTAAACGCTGTTCTTTTTCTAATTTGTATAACTTACACCCTACATCAGGATATACAAAAATAATCGTCTTTTTCAACATTTCAGATTGGATGAGGATATCAGATGAATATAAGGAGTTATAAAGCTCTTTCCATAATATCAAGTTTTATGTGGTGAATTTTTAAGGTTTTCTATATATGAGGTTTGCCATCCCAAAACCAGCATCAGTGACCAACATATGAAAATTGACTTTTTAATATATTCATATTCTCCGAATTGTAAGCTTTAAAATGATGGATCACTTACTGGAATTGACTTACTATTGCCAAAGTTATGAGTTAAAGTATTACTGCTTCTCTGTACTAAATTACACAATACTACCACATTCTTATGCTAATTACTCAGGTTAAAAATTAGCGACAGTATGCTGGTTTTGGGATGGCAAGTCTCATATGGGGCTCTATGACATCATCATGCCCATATATAGGCATAATACTTGTTAGTGTGAACGGAGCTTTAGGCCGACACACACCTGAAAACATGGCTGTGAAAGGATAGGTAAGATCTGCCAGCTTCTGCCAAAACGATGTCATGACATACGACCAATTTTTCGCTCTAGCTTCCATCTTCTGCCAACTCAGATCCTCACAGTACAAAGCACCGTTGAAAGCACCGATACTAACTCCGCCAACCATATCAATTGGAATTCCATATTCTTGTAAACCACGTATGATACCGATTTGAGATGCGCCCCTACAAGTAAAATTGTATTCACTTAAAATTCAATGAACACTATTGTGAATTTTATCTCCACACCAGTTTTTTTTAAAAACAATATTTAATTATGGATACCCACCCTTTTAGACAGGCTGGAAGGATACCTGCTTGTTAAAGCAAAAAACACTGACACATACCTTACTAATAACTGACATCATTGATCTATAAAATAATTCATAATTCAAGGATGGTATTTATATAACTTTTCTATCAAATTTATATAACTTTTTCTACCAAACAAGAACTGGAGAATATATAACAAAATTCTAAAAGGCACTAACCTTGCTCCACCACCACCAAGGACTAATCCAATTGAAGTACCAGTTAAGAACCTTGCCAGCCGTGAAAAATCTGAATGGCGGTCGGGAGGATTTTGAAACAGCTTCTCATAAGTCTCTCTGAGCTTTGCTGGGGATTTCTTGGAGAACATTCGGCGTGGGCAGCGGATATGATGATGGGTCATACACCACCCGCGAGCGTTGAGCCACTCTGCAGTCCGTGTTGGTGGCTGGTAGCAGTAATCTTTCTCACGGTGGAGTAAAATTAATTCCTTCTGAGCACGAATTGAAAGGTTTTCTAACTGGTCTTCCATCTGACTCACTTCCTTTGGATCTTTGTCTGCTAATGCCACAATGAGAATACAGTCAGCCTGAAAGAGAGTTAAGATCAACTCAATTAAATATTTAATACTCAATAAAATGATTTTTAACATAAATACATTTTATATATGAATTCTGAAAGTCTTCCATTACAATTAGTACAGTAAGTTTTTCGAAAATACTTTATATTTACTATCACTATCAACATGCCTGTGCAATCTATCATCTGTTCCTATCATCTTGAGTACAAATAGACTTATAATTATACGTCAAAATATGACAAAACCAGATTGATAATGGCAATATCACAAGGATAAGAGAATCAAAACTTTTTTTTATAACGGTACATTATGTTTAAATAATTATCTCACCTGCCGAATGCACCTTTGTGTCCATGGAGTCATCTTGTAATCTGCTTGGTAGAGAACAATACGATGGAAGTCTTCTTGTAACCCCAACCAACTTGTTAACCGGAACTCATGAATACTAGAAAATTAAAACAATTACAACATAGGTTATTATTTTAAGATTAAATATTAGATAGCAGTAAAGGATGAATTCTTGAAAATTTTAAACAGGCTTACGAGTCCAGAGCAGAACCTCCTAGTGTCTTTAGTATATAATCACTGGTCAAGCGAAGGCATGAACCTGCAAAATATAATAATAGTAATAATAATAACAGACACAATAACTGACAACAACTGCAGTAACACCATCTGTACAGACATCAGTAGCACTTAAACCCCCTGTACTGACACCACCAAGCACCGTGAACTGTACTCACACGACCTGTATTGACATCAACTGTACCAACACCATCTGTACTTACATCAACAACACTTGTACCACATGTACTGCCATTGACCGGCACTTTCTTCTCCAGTACTGACATCAACTGTAATAATACCATCTGTACTGACATCAATTGCACTTTACACCACCTGTACTGCCATGTGACACCTTGTCCAACACTCACACCACCTGTACTGACATCCTCTGTAGTAACACCATCTGTACAGAAATTAATGGCACTTATACCACCTGTACTGCCATCAAATGACACCTTCTTGTCCAACACTCACACCACCTGTACTGACACCAAATATAGTAACACCACCTGTACAGACATCATTGGCACTTATACCACCTGTATTGCTATCAGGTGACACCTTCTTGTCGAAAACTCACACCACCTGTATCTGACGTCAACTGTAGTAACACCATCTGAACTGACATCATTGGCACTTATACCACCTAAATTGCCACCAGGTGACACCTTCTTGTCTAACACTCACACCACCTGTAATGACATCAACTATACTAATACCTCCTGTGCGAACTCACTGACACTTGAACCACCTGTACTGACACCAACTAGCACCTACTTGTCTAATGCTCACACCATCTGTACAAACTCATTTACACTTACACTATCTGTACTGTCATACCTGGCACCTATCTCTCCAGTTCACACACAGCCTGTACCTACACAACCTCTACTAGACCTACCTATTGCACTGAGAGAGTGAGTGAGTTCTTGGGAGAAGTTTGAAAGTGGAACATTGTCCGAAGCAGCTATTATTGCACATGTTGATAAGTTATCAACATTTGGGTGGCTGCCAGCAACATCCATATTCTGTGAGATAGCTGGGGATGAAGAAGGACAAAAAATAATAAAATCTAATTACAGTAAAACAAGCACCTGATGTAGGACTATATAGAATACCATCATATTACAAATATTCATCATCATAACTATCATAAATCATATCAACATTTTTGATTTTATATAAATAATCATCATCAACAATGCTAACACCATCATCACCAGGATCATTAAAAGACTATGTCAGAGAATTTTTCAATTAAAGGATGCAATGTCTTTATCATCACCACCATAATCATCACTCACTTCAAGCATATCCTAAACACACACTCACAACCTAATCTTACAAGTCGGTGTAAAGCTAGTAATTTTTTGTTTACCTCTGAGAGGATTTGAGACATTTTTTTCTTTAACTTGTCCCACAAGCTTCTGGCCAAGGATTTCAATGAGTCTGGTGACCACCTGTGGAAACTTCCTCTTAATAAGTGTCAGCATTCCTGATGGCAACATGGCTAACTCTGTATCCCTAAAAAACCCCCAAAAAACAGAGAAAATTTAAACAAACATACAAAATTAATGATAAAAATATATAAAAATACAAAATATAACTTAATGTTAAAACAGACCAAAACTATTTAAATAAAAAATATATGCAATATAACACACACAAAAATATTAACAAGAAAATATACACATTATAAATAAGACAGTGGCTATTGCTACTCCAGTATTAAGCCACTTCCTAATTCTGATTAGATGTTATTGTATGTATGGATTGGATTAGAAAATAAGTCAATCAGAATAATGAATTGGTTTAAAACTGGTGTAACAATAGCCACAGCCTATAAATAAATCTGCCAACGCATGAAGATTCCTTTTAGAATAATCTAGAAACTGATCTGGGCCACACAAATTTAAGAAACAGATTTTTACCTGATAGCATGTACTGTAGTGATTCTTTCCTTCTGTGTTAAGACCTCAATGACACCAACCATCTCACCTCGACCAAACTCCCCTAGTAGTTCCTTTTTACCATTAGGTAGCGTAATAACTGACCTCAACCGTCCATTTAATACAATGTATGTACTGTCACCTTCATTGTTTTGTCTTTATGAGAAGTGAAATTGAGAAATGAAATACATAATTAATAATAAAAATCTTTAAACAGCATTTTCAGGTAAAAGTCAATTGACCTTTTGGGCTAAACATTTATCATTTTATGATGTTCCAATGTAAAATTCACAGTCATTCATCCTTGATACATCACCTAATTTTGCATTACACCTAAATCTCCCTATCATGACAATGTACTACGGCAACGGCATTTACAGTAGTTCAATTTAAGCGGCTTTTCTGGTTGTTTTTGGTGTGTTTAACACTGCATTAGGCTAATAATCATTAATAAATAACTCAGATTTTTGTTAATGGTCCTCCTCAGTTAAGATTTAGACCCAGTACTCTTATATTCCAGACAGAGGGTGTTTTGATTTTTCTTACCTGTAGAGTGCTTTACCAGCTTCGATCATCATCCAATCAAGAGCAAAGTCAGTCTGACGAATGAAAGAGGAGAGCTTGCGAACTACGAAGTGTCCAATTTTTAATACAACCTCAGGTTTGACTCTCATAATACTGAAAGCAAAAGAAAATAAACATAATAGCTTGTGAGTGATGAAACTAAAGCTATCCTTGATTTTATTTTTCAAGTTAATATATTACATACCTGTAAAAACTGGTCTTGCTAATTACTATCACTCTAGAATAAACCAAAGCTTTGACTGTAAAGAAGGCTGGTTCTCCCGTCAGCACTGCCAATTCACCTATAAATTCACCCGGATTCACCTTAAATACACCTCTCTCCTCTGTGCTGTTCACTATCTTTTGCATCATCCCAAGTTTACCGCTAACAATAAAGAATAAGCTGGCATCCTATAAAAAAAAAACAGAACAAGATCTATAATACTAATAAAAGCAAATAACACTAATAAACAACACATTCATATAATCAGAGCTTAAGTTTCACATTCAACAGCAAGTACACTCACTACTTAAAGGATAGAACAATGCTTTCTATATTAAAATGCAGGCCTAGAAAAAAAATGTTTGTGCCTCTGTCCATGAAATTGTCTCGATAAAATGCCTCCAGCACCTAATTTATCTGTACACTGTTAAAGCCCAACAGTTTATTTCTTTGAAATTTTTCCCCACAAAATGCTTCCGGGACTTATATAATGCCTTCAAGTGCTGGTTGCGTGGTGGTGCATATTTTCCAGCCCTGCTAATAGGATTTTTTTTTTATAATATTGATGTCTCGAAGGATTTGAACCCAGAACGCTAGGATCTAAATATGGTACTACCAGATACCCACTAGACTAGTACCCTCCTAATACTAAGGAATAGAAATGGACAGCAAAAACTTCAAAAGAGATGCAACCCACAAGTCTTCCAAAAAAACCTGTAATTTAATGTATTCTCATTCTCACCCAACAGCAAAAGTCTGGCCACTTACATGATGCTCTACAAACCAAATCATTTTATGGGGCTTAATGAGTGTAGTCTTGAGGAAAATCCTGGTGTCCCAGGACTCAATCCCAAGACCTTGGAATTGAATGGCAAACATCTTAACCACTAAGCTGGAGCTCCACTCCTAGTAATACTGAATGATAACTATAACCCCAACATTTTCAGATAAGATAATATAATACATAATCCAAGTATCGAAATGCACGCCATCTTGTCGGGATTCAACATTTCGACATTAATTATGTCATCATTTCGACATTAATGATGTCAAAATTTTCCACTAGCAAAAGCAGCAACAATAATATTTACTGTTGATAAATACTACATATCTGCCATGTAAATAATGAAGAACCAAAATTAACTAAGTACCTGGTCTCCTTCTTGAGTCAAACAGCTACCAGCATCAACATGAGCTAATTGCAGGTGTCCATCAAGGTAAGATTCATCCTGCAAAAACAAAATATCCAATTAATAACATTGAATTAACTATTACAAAGCACCTCTGTATATTAGATAATAATAATTTTGATAATAAAAAAAAATAATCACTAGTATTGATGAACATATAATAAGACGTTTATAAGCTACACAAACCAGAAATGAAGTTGGTAGTCTATGAGTGAGATGCTGAACTGGATGAAACAATAAACAACCCCACCACCCCCTACCCCCCAAAAAAAAAATTCTACCCACCTCAAAACCAAACAACTTGGTGAGATCAGTCTGTGCCATTGCCAATACTTCATCATCAGAATACGAATTCTCCCCAGACTTCTTACGAGATCTTGCACTTGAGGGCGCTGCTTCCTCGCTGGTCTGAGTAACTAGCTTCTTGGGTTTCTCTAGAGGTTTCACCTCTGGGTCCTGCAAGAACCACCATGGGTAATTTTTATCTCAAAATGTTGAACACTGTTGTGGTGAAGATGATAATCTAAATATAATGTATTTGTATTTTTTTTGTTTAAATATTTGGTATTTTGTATTATTTCTAATGTTCGCATAGGTTGTATTCATAATGTGGTGATATTCAAGATTAAAGAAACTTTATTGTCTGTTATGCATGAAAATATATACAGAAAATTGGTTTACTCGGCAAGATTAAGAAGTTGAAAAGATGACTGATGATGAAGGTGATGATTAATATGACGATGATATGATGGTGAAGATGGTGGGGATGCTGACAATATTTATTACAGGTGACTACAATAAGTACATGTTGCCAGTCAACCACTTTGTGATCCAACTCTTACCTTTGGTACATCTTCCAGGTTTAATACCCTAGCTCTACCAGCTGCTGCCTCAAAGTCAGACGGACTCATACTCATTCGGCCATGACCATCCAGATCAAAAGAGGTTACTCTTCTTACCAACTTATGAGGGTGGCTACCATCTGTATAAAAATAGGACACACTAATCAGCCTCAAATCAGATGATTATTTCAGTACATGTAAGTAAACAATACTTGTTAGTGTACAGTATTTGTTTAGGCATTGCCTTTTCTAATCTCTCACTGTGCATTTTGCTTGTGCACTTGGGCAAGGCATTGTATCCACATTGTCTCTCCAGTGGGTACTTATAATAAGACTCAAGTACTTATTCTAGCTTCTTATGAAATAGTGCTCCACAGAAAAATGAGAATGTATTTCTTAGGTGTTTGACAAAATGAATGAAAATAATAATGTAAAGCGCATAGAAGCAGTGTACTATATAAATTACACACTATTATCATTATTAAATGACAAAGAGAATTCATTATGACTGTAGTTATCAATAGTTTATCCTTACATGATGATGTTCTCCCTCGCAGTTCATTTTCACTGTCTGACGTTGTGCTTTGATACTTATCTGTACAAAAGTAAAAATGGTGTCACTTTTTAATTTAATTTAACTTATTTTATTCAAATTCAACTCACAACATAGAATAAATAATAGTGAGCAAGGTGGAGAAAATCAGGTGGAAGTACACCTATACTAGTTCATCCACCTGAAATTTAACACACACACAAATACAAATAAGTTTTTCATTCAAAATGTTTTTAAATTTGTACATTATTTGTGGGATTTTCAGCTTGTAAATATGGCTTAATTATAATTACGATGAATTAATATAACCTGATTATGAGAATAGTAGAGTTGTAGCTTGGTAACTAAGATGTTTTCCTTACAAAACTAGGGTCCTAGATTCAAATCCTGTACGGCTCTCTCTCGGGCCGATATGCTGACATAGTTCACTGAGCATCACATAGTTCTGTAGTGGACCTTTTTGTTAAGCCCTGCCCCATTTATTTTGTCTCTAAGATCTCACAAAATAACAGCGTAAAAACATGCATTTGTAGAAACAAGCGCATGTCCCCACACTGTTCAGAATGGCTAGTTGTTAAAGCTACATTCACATCAAGCCCGGATCCGGTCCGGACCCAGGACAAAAAATTGTGAGTTGCTATGTTTTGCTGCGTTCACATCGGGAACGAAACACAGTTATTCGGGTTAAGTGCATATGCGTTCTATTGGTTCGAACCAACCAAGGAAAAAAACGAACAATTTCACAATACAACTGGCTCTCAGATCCATCGGTCCGGATCCGGAGTCTGGATTGGATATCATAGAAATTTGATGTGAACGGTCCTATTATTTACCAGTGAACCAATTTTTTACGATTTTTTGTCCGGGCACCAGACCGGATCCAGACTTTGATGTGAACGTAGCTTAAGTTTATCTGATAGTCTGGAAAGGTCCATTATATGTATAGTGCTTATTGGAAGTGTAAATAGAATGTAAAGTATAAAAATATATTTGCATATATACATATTTACCTCCACCCTTTATAAGTAGCTCTTTGATTTTCTCTTCATCATGGTAATCAATAATCCGTGTAACCTTTTCGCTGCTACTGGAGGAGGTGGCCAATGATATGTTACTGACTCTCTTACTGGGGCTAACTCTCGGTGACAGCTGATGTATGGATAGGCTTTTATCACTTGTATCTTCCTAAATATATATAGAAAGAAATTTCCAACTGGTTATTTAAATTGGAGGACAGAATTCTTGGTTTTCTCTGACAATTAATTAAATTAATAATTGTTTACCAGAGGAAATTAAAACTGTGTAAATTATGATATATTCTTATTGAGTATAAGTATAAAATCCAACATACTATGTAACCAGATTTAGATATATCTGTTGTTGGAAAAAAACAAAACCACCCCCATCATATGCTGCTTTCCATAAAAATAATTATGTATCTGTATCTGTCAGCTACTGCACAACCTTCGTTAACTAGGCTATCACGTGCAGGTAACTCTGTCGCTGCAACTGGTTGCAAATTATATTTTTACAGTGTAGATGCGCAGTCTTAATAAGATGGTCAATGTCGATGCTGTCAAGTTGGGACTTAAAGGTGGCCAATGTAGGGGCACATCTAATGGAGGAATGGTTCATGGATAGAGCGAATGAAGATAGTTGTTTTTATTAGGCTGGACTCTTCTGTAAATAAAGTGACCAGAAGATTGCCTGGTCTGTCTGATAAGGGATTCGTCTGAAGGAGATGATCTATATTGCTAGGGATGAGTTTGTTTGTCTCTTTGTAGAAGGTACTGAGACGGGGTTTGGTTTGTCTAGTCTCCAAGGACTCCCATTCAAGTTGTTTCAGCATCTCGGATACACTGGAAGTTCTTGCATAGTCATGCAGTACAAAACGGGCTGCTCGTCGCTGGATTTTGTTGATGTTTTCGATTTTGTATGTATATTATAAAAATGATATTTACATTTACCTTATTAATAAGCTCATGAGTTAAGCCTAAGTAGTTGTGAAGTGTCTGAAATGTGACCCTCTGAAGACGAACCATGATCATCTGAACAACTCGAACCATAGACTCGGGAAATCGCTGGAAGACGTTGGTGAATGCTGTGGCGGGTAGGCGAAGGACAACGGTATCTTCTGCAGCTCTCGCTGATACAGTTTTGTAAGGAGCAAGATGACCCTGATGAAATAGTGGTTTGTGAATTGTTAAAGATTTTACTCCCCTTTTTACCCAGTTTTTTAATACTCAAAAATCTGCATGGCATTAAGTGTTTCTGAGTTTTGGTCAACCACCCTTTTTGTGTCTTATGAAAACAACATATCAAGAAATTCTTTCCTCTGGAGTTTTAAAAATAGTTTAGTAAAATATTTTCCCTATTTGAGTAATTACATGACTTGTTGTAGACCCAATTTATGCTGCTTGTCCTTCACTACCAAGCATTTATGTTTGTAATTAATCATAATATATTTAACACTGGAACTTCTTTTAGATGAATTGCACACACTGAAAATAAGGTGCAGATGAGCAAATTCAACTGAGCTGTTTGGAGGCAAGGCTGGTAGCTTAGCTCATGTGTGGAAGGCTTTAGGGTGAACTGTCTACTTTGATACATTATGTACACAATGCTTAAGGGCCAACACAAGATTGATTGGCACTTACTGTGAGAACATCCAATATACTAAGCAAGCTGTGAACGCTATCTCCTGTCGTAACCTGTTTCACTTCAAACTCTTCACCGCTCTGTATTTGATTTAAAAACAAGCACTCAATAAAAAATATAGTAAAAAATTACAGAGCTGTAATCCTTTAAAACCAAAGCAATTATCTAAAAAAATATGTAATTATTATATACAAGCTAAGATTCTAATAGGCAAAAAAAAATCCTAATTGTAGCTTGGAAAATTCATATCAGAATTCATTAAAGACTGGTAGCCATAATTACTACTAGTGAAGCACAAAAAGAACTTTAAATATTATATAACATATTAATAATTAACTTATTATTATTTATAGAAAAATTTTAACAAAATGTTGTTGTTACTAATATAACATATTTGTTTTAAATTTTTCAAGGTAGAGTAATAGAAGAATTAGACAAATTAATATGAACATACTGGTTCTGTAATGTAAACTTTCAGTCGTCCGCTCTGCACCACGTAGATACTGTCATCACTCTGACCTCTCCGGAATAAGGATGCTCCTGCAGGAACGAACTTGGATTCAACGGAACGGCATAACTCCAGGAAAAGAGGTTTTTCAAAATGACCAAATACCCTTGAAAGCAAGAAGATAAAAGAAAATTGAAGTTACAGTATTTGCACTGAATGGTTAATATTAATTCTAATGTATTTTTTGAAATATTATTTCCCCAGTAACTATCACTATGATTAGCATTTTCTTAAGCCCCTTTCAGATAGATGTTGCCGCAATATTGCGGTAAGCATGCCGGCATACTAACCAGTCTATACCCTTTTACACAGCGCCTTTGTTACCGCAATGCTGTGGTAATCTTACGCTTTTCAGTCTGAAAGGGTCCAACAGAATGGCATATTATTGGCGGTTTAAATACCACCGCGCTATTGTTTTCAACTTTAACCTTGTTTATGCATAAATGCACACACCAGCTTGATTGCCGCAAGATCGAGTAGACAAATTCAGACAGAGCAAGCCAGTAACCGTTACATATTACTAGGGTGCAAGGTGGCCTAAAGTAAGCCGACATATTGGCGTATTGACCCTTTCAGACAGAAACCCATGCCGGCGTGACTGCAATATTGCAGCTCTGTCTAAAAGGGGCTTTAGTTGTGTATGCAACAAACCTGACTTCTTTCGCTAAGTACCGCTCTCGAATAAGCGCCACACCAAACCTAACTTCTTTCGCTAAGTGCTGCTCTCGAATAAGCGCCACAGCACTTAATCGAGAGTATATTATTTCCCTGCATGTAATAAAACACTTTGAGAAACATAGTTTTAAATACAAAGTATACAGTGTTCAAATAAATAAATAACACTATTAAGAAACAATCATTTCTTTATAAACGCTTACTTACGATGATGTACAACCTACTGTACAGTATAATAGGCCTACTGAACTACGGTCATATGTGAGATAGTAACATGGGAACGTGGGCATGGAAAGCGCCACGCCAATATTTTTTTATAAGCACCGCTCTCAAATTTTATAAGTGCCACGGCGTCTATTTGAGCATTTACAGTATTTTAATAAGCATGTAAATCCTTTGTTATCATACCTTACACTTTTGAGCATGTAGAGTACCTCATTAGGTATGTGTAGTTCTGGTGGTAGTTGCATATCTTGCCAGTCAGCCTCCAGGATGGCCGGTGGTGGTTCCTTGACCTGCAAGACAGGGTGGTTCTCACTCTCCTGCAGCTTGAGTATACTACAAGAAAGAGATGGGAGGGAATGAACAACCAACCTTTGAGTATTTACTATCATTGAGGCACTTTTAAAAGAGAACTAGCAAAATGATTTTTTGTTCTAGAGAGGATTTTTGATATGCCATTAATAATAGAATCAACCTTAAAATCGTTTTTTTGGCTTTTTTAATGAAGTTTTAGGCGATTATACAGGTATACGAATTTACCGTGACGTCACTGGCGAAAAAGTAACAAGTTTTAAAAATAGGCTCCCAGCGTGAGCATGTGTCTATGCCCTATACTGTATTATGTTTACTAATGAAGTATCCACATAGAATTCGGTTATCAGGAAATGTGTGGTGCTGTATTTTTTTTAATGACTTTTGTACAGCAATAAGGTACTTAAGATGACACATGACCCATCATGCACTTCCACCGGATTTACCATTTTCGCCATCTTTAATTGCCAGATCATAACATAGTGTCTTTGTCCCCGAGGGGCATAGACACAAAAACCACTCAATATGCGCTGCACAATATCAGCAAACGCCAAACAGTATTTTAATAAGCATGTAAATCCTTTGTTATCATACCTTACACTTTTGAGCATGTAGAGTACCTCATTAGGTATGTGCACTGTCACTTACGTGATTTCATTTTCATATTGAATATCAGTTACTGTAGAAAATACTGTTTTCTTTCATTTGAAAGTTAAACTACGTTTTATAATATGTGTCAAATCAAGTACAGGGGTTGTAGCTGTAGAAAAGTAAGGGTGATATATCACCCTTACTGGGTAGGTGATAACATTGGTAAACTCTAAATAATAAGAGTGGATTTTAAGGATGGAAAAGTGGGTTAAGAAGGGTGGGTGGAGGGCCATGAAATTGGCTTTAGACTGGGTGGAAAACTGCAAAGCTGGGTGACTCTGCCCACCATACTACATCCCTCAGTAATTGAAAATGATAGTATCAGTGTCATTTAAAAAAAAAATTACCTAAAGAAGTTCACTGTGTGAATTAAACTCAGGCTCAATGAACTATATCCCAATCAATAAATGATATTTAAACTTAAGCATAATATTATATATCATTTATAAAAACTAGCAACTATTATACATGTGACAACAACAGTAGTGTAGATCTGAAGGCAATTTTCTAATTCTATTTATTTAATATTAACCTGAAAGAACTTGATTTTATTTAGTATAAATTTAGCAATGCAGATAGATGCAAATGTAGGTAATTTCCTATGAAAAGTATGAAGCAAAGTTTATCTGTATCTGTATGGTACAGAAGCACCCATATTTTAATTGTTTGCATTGCTATGAATCTTTGATAAACAGTTTACATGTGTGTCAAGTACCTGTAAAGGTCTCGGCAACTTAGGATTTAAGAGATAAATGAAACCTATAAATTTTAGATGTTCAGACTTACCTCTTTAGACCCCTGGCTAGATTGATTATATCTCTTTTCTTTTTTAGTCTATTACGTGCAGACAAATCACCATAATGCACCGGCCCCGAAAATGACTTCACCTTGATGTAAACATTTAAAAAACATCAATGAATTATAAAGCTTGAATGAATACACAGTGTGATATAGACTCAATAACACATTCTCAATAGCATAAAGTAGATCTAACAATGTATATGCTAAAAATCTAGGTCCTTCATACCCATTCTTCCCACCTGCGAGCTTATTAATTGTTGCAACAGAAAAAAAACCAGCCAACACATAACAGTGAAATACACAACACATTAAACAGAAGTTTGTGATGATTACTTTTAGACTTAAAAAGAGAAAATTAAAACAATATAGGCCTAATAACCTTTGAAATTATATTGAGTCCTCAATTGTAAAATCAATCAAGCAATCAATCAAATTCTATCCCCTCTCCCTGGAGCTAAAGAATTCTAGCAAGGGATTTTCACCAACATTTTGATAGTTTTGATGTAAGTTATTGGTATTTTGGTTTATCGGAGATGGTTTGCTACTGCAGAAAAAGGGTTTTGGCTAAAAAAGGTAGATTCACCAAACAAATACACAGTAATGACACAGTTTTATCAATTTTCTTGGAACTATGCGACTCTCAATATAGTGCTCTCAAAGAAATTCAAAATAGAGTAACAGAGCTATGGCAGAGATCTAATAATGAAAAGTCAATTGATAGTTAATGTGTCAAGTAATGGTTTCATTTTCCAAATTGTGATATTTAATGTAATATTACTACACTGTTAACGATTGATTTCTTGTATTATTAGATTATTACTTTGAGTAAGAAATTTTAATTATACCTGCACATATACAGGAGCCATGCATTCTTAGGCATTTGAAGGTCATAATATAATATCATCTCATCTATGATCTAAGTTTTTTCATAAATTTAATTCATCAAATCTTTCACCAGTGTTATTATATGTCAGCACCCAGAGCAGTCCCATGCCAAAGTTAAGAATCATAATTGAATTATAACGATAAACTTATTATAGTACAAAGCTACAATGATCAAACAATGGGATAAGAAATACATCTGGCAAGATAGTTTTAATGGGAAAAATCATTTAGTTAGAGAAAAAAAAAAGGTTAAAAGAGCAGGCAGGAAAGAACAAGAATATGAGAAATAATTTTAGTGCGTAATGCTGAGTTGATGGTGTGCTTCGGCCAGTAGTCCATTAAAAAAATTAATGGCAATACAAGTTAAATCCATATAAATTGTTACATACTCATGATTAGTTGTTCGGTACACTAGTTGTGTAGTGCTCAATCTACAAATTTTATATACTTAAATTGAGTAAGACAAGTGTTATAATTTTTTTCTAAATAAGGATGAATACAAGTTAATTCTTCTGTTTAGAAGTTAATATTCTTAAATGTTAATTATAATATAATTTAAGCACCTAGAGTAAAGGCATCAAACCAATCAACAAAACAATCAGTACTTTGAGTAATTATGATTGCAAGAGGCTAAACTTGAAGACTGGTGGCAAGACTAATGGCTTGACTAAACCAAAAAGGCCAAAAGAAGAAGTAGTATAGAAGTGTATGCATTTGTTAATTGTGTGAAAACTATGATTCTGTCATTTTTTAATTGAAATCATTTAAGTTTGTTAAATATACAAAGTATGGAATTAAAGAAATCATATGTTATTGTTTTAAGTATATTAGCTCTTACACTAAGTATAGTTAAACCGAAAGGTCCACTGATTAATCTCAGTAAGATAGTATAATACATACTCCAAGTATCGAAATGCACGCCATCGTGTCGGGATTCAATATTTCGACATTAATTATGTCATCATCAGGAATTCCTGATGATGACATAATTAATGTCAGGAATTCCTGATGATGACATAATTAATGTCGAAATATTGAATCCCAACACGATGGCGTGCATTTTGATACTTGGAGTATGTATTATACTATCTTATCTAAGAATAGTTAAGCTACAAAATACAACAAAATACCAATGGATTTTTGTTGTTGAAAGAAACATCTGTAGCACTAAACATGTCTAGTATTTATTAAAGTGAAAATGTAAGGTCATTGCAATTTAAAATAATGGATTTACTTTAATACATTATTTAAGAATTTAAGAGAAAATGCGATAAGATTCTGCAATTTAAATGATGGATTTATAGATGAATAAAACCAAACAATTAAAGGATCAAATACGATAGTTCTTTAGATTGAAATGATGAATCTCCACTTATACACCATTTACCACTTAAAGGGTGAAATGTGTCATCTAGTTCATTAAATATTTTTCAATAGGAAAAATGTGATAATGACTAGAGGACTTTAAATGATGAATTTCTACATTTAAACAGTTACCATATTATATACTGAATAATAATTGATAGTTGATTAAGTGCTTTAAGATAATACATAGTGTGTAAGGAGGTCCATTATAGTACATTACTGACAGTAATTTTGTTGAATATTACATTATTAATAACAGTGTTTTAAATTTAATAGAGTATAAAACAAAATTAATAATTATAGTAATTCACAAAATACATTTAATTGATGTTTAATTTTTGTTTTAGATATATTAAAAATTATTTCATAATTAATTTATTTAAACAAAACAGCATGGTAATTTCATTATTGTGTAAATCTGACCCAATTTTGGATTTTACCATTCAGAAGGCGCATTAAACTTGACCTCATTTGTGGGAATTAATGAAGAGAAATTCTCAATTACCTGCTAGAAATATGTGTAAGTATGCATAAATATACAACCAACTATCAACAGCGACAATCTTGGATTATATTCTTATCAGTTTGCCAGTATGAGTTTCACAGACTCTGAGCTATTGAGTCACAATTTACATTACCTAGCCATTACTGGACAACACAATTAAAATTACGTTTTGTACCACTCTTTACTTAGCTGCAGCTTTAAATGCAAACAGAAGTTTAGAAATCCATTTGTACAGATAGATGAGTAGGTTATAGGCTACATTTAGATTCGGCATAAACGTCTCCCAGATTTCCCAAGGGACAATTAGGATTTAAGAAACACCAAAGTTAATTCTTCTGCCTGGTCATGCAAACAATGATTCATAAACAGAATATTTTAGCATTCTGTATTTCTAAGATATGAAATAAACGCTGAGCATTGGACATGTAAGATGAAATTTAAGAATCAACAAATTTTAAAGGTAAAGATGTATTGATCACCAGAGCCTCCTGGGAGGAACTTTCACAGGGTACAAAATTTATGGATGGCACCTCCTATAAATAACCAGAAATTTTTAACGCATTTTTTTTGCTCTCTCCATTTTATCCTGAATTTTAAAATTTAGAAGTGGGGGGGGGGGGGGGGGGGGGGGGGGGGGGGGGGTGTTGGCTGGGCCACTTGAATCTATCTATGATCACTGCCGATAATTGCTTAGTATGATTACAGATTACACATTCTGGTAACAGGTTCTTACACCTCTCCCCACAATGATTAAGAAATTAATATTTAGATTTAATTTATTTTAAGCAACTGTTTTCTATTTGGTTGTTTCTGTCATATCTGTTTAACATTGAATTGAAAGAATCTGTAGGAATCAAATATGTAGCTAATAAAGTGGCAATACTTTTTACACAACAAATACACAAATGATCTTCTATAAGTTTCATAGGTTTACTGTAGGAGTGGAGTTTGGTTTTGGTTGTGAGGCCAAGTCATGTCACTTGATAGGAATTGAAACCAGGCTACACTGCCACTGAAAACACAAGTTTTCTACTTTATTTTAATCTTTTTTATTTTCTTGTTTTTATTATATTTAAAATTCTTCCAACTGCGATAAATTGCCACCTGGTAAGAATAAGACATGTATGTAAATATCTATTGTAAAATACTAAAATACGATAAATAAACAAATAATAAAAACCACACATTGTTGACAAACATAAACTTTGCAAATGTCATACATGTAATGCTCAATTACAAAATATTATAGGTGTCAACCTGAATTTTGGCAAAAATATCCTGCTTTTAGTATTTTTCTATGTTTGGTATTTCTAAATGTTTCTACTGTATATTGCATTATCATCTGGCTGAGCCAAAGCCATGTCTATAGCTTGTAGAAATACGTCATTAGTCCTAAAGAGCTGTTCATGTATCTGGTTCCATGCAGAAGTGACTTAATACTTAAAGTCAAAGTAGTTTATTAAGTTGAAACATGATAATACTAACGCAAGAGTGTTAACAAATAGTAAATTATCTTAAATACTTCAAATTACAGGCCATCATCACTTTGATTTTCATAGTATCAGAGAACATTGAAATTGCAATATAAATGATTGAATTGTGTACTCCAATGGCCACAGAACAGTTTTAGTTGGGGAAAAATAGGGCCTACTCATTTTGATGAGCGGTCAAATTAATAATGTTTGGTGCTGGGAGACATATTCCTACAGTGTATGTTGTATTAATATTTTCCAAGTTCAATATTGTAGTTTGTGTTTTTACCTGCTTTAGATTTCACACCATGTAACAACTTACCTTTCTTAGCATTTTTCTTCCATAGAATAAAACTTTGTCTCTTTTTCTAAATCTTGGTTTTGGCATGGCAGCTGCTGCTGCTTTTTCTGTGATTATATAACATTAAAAACAATAATAATTTGTGAAAAACACTTGGACTACTGTACAAAACTTACATAAAGTTGCAAATGAAATGTTTGGCACACAAACATCTTAATAATTTATAATTACTTAATTATCTAAATAATATATAATTAATGCTTGCGGTACACTACGTAGGTATCTATGTGGTGTACCGCAAGCATTAATTATATATTATACTTCGCCATGCAAACCTTCAAACAATATTTTATCTAAATAATGTTTTTGGCAAAAGGTACACATAAACCATCACAAACAACACTTGAAATAATGAATACAAAAAATGGAAAATATAAAAATTAGGCACACACTGTTTTTAACACATTAATAAAAAATGGTGCTCTTTCCTATATCAAAAAAATAATAATGTAAATAGCATAAGTTTTAGGATTGCTAGTGTTTTATATATCTGTGATTGTAAAATGTGTAGAAACAGGAAAAATAGAATTGCTACTAAAAGATTAACAAGTTATTAACTCCTAATGAAAATTCTAAAATTAATTGCCAGCCAATATAAAATTCATCGAATGGCATTCATTATTTATTAATTGATGAATATTTAAGTCTCTTCTAATTTTCAATTGAATAACAAAATACACAAAACATTTCAATCTTTTTGAACTTATTTTTTAAAATGCTGTTATATCACCATTTATAACAGTATAACTTGAATTTTATATGAGTAGTTTCATAGTAAATGGAATCACCACACTTAAAGTAGAATACAATGAATTTAATAAATTTTGTGTACTGTAACCAAAAGGTTTTGCATTATGAGCTTTTTTGACACAAATATTGAATTTTTGTTTTCATTTGAAAAATATTATATTTTTCATTTTTGCAGTGTTCTACCATATCAATAATCATTCTCATAGAAACAATAACCTCAATTTTTTAAATACAATTGCTATATTTATTATACTACCATATACTACCTTTTAATTAAGGACATTTTTTAGGTCACAATTTTTTTGAGTGGGAAAATATAGCTATAAAGTACCTCAAGTGATAAAAAAAGTTAACTGCAAGAAGTTGAAAAATATGCATCCATTTATATGAATACAGAAATAAAAAAACACGCCATAACTTTCTCTTACAATTCTCTAAAGAATTATGTCCAGGGAAGGCTCATTTTCTGCAAAAAATTACCCATTAACACATTTGCAGCTGGGGACGGAGTTTAGGTGACACAAAGTTCACTTACGATGCCAAGGATGCGAGTTCACGTCCACACCTGTCTAAATATACCACTATTGTATTGTACGTAAACTCACAGGCGTTGGTCGCCCTGGAGGTTCAGGGAAGAACCTGAAGTATAATGATCTAAAAATATAGACTTTATGTTTGTTCATGTTTCATTAGAGTTGATAGGAATATTTTCATTAGTTGACCCTTTATGCCTTGGCATATTAGATTTTAGTAATGGATAAGCTAAAAACAACAAAATACGAGAAAAGGCTTAGAACTATTTTACCTTTTTGTTTATTTTTTTCCATAACATTTAATATATTCAAAATGACAGTGATACCAATCACCAAGGAACTGATTATCATAATCTGCAATGCAAGTTAAATAAAACAAGTTAATTAAGACATCAAATAATTGTAATAAAACCAGCCAAGTTAATAAATATTGATTGTAAATTGAAAAAATACCAATAATATTTTATGAAAACAGATTTTCATCAGGTTAAAATCTAAACTAAATACATAATGTTTTTAGGCCTAATTTGGCCTTCCTTGGTCTGCACTAGTAGCAGAAGCTTTAGGCAATGCTTTTTTTATACCTTGTTTCCCAAACTTATTTTTTTTAAGACCGTCAGAGGAGGGCAGAAAAAAATTGTTTTCTTATTTAGCAAATACTGTAGTTTTGCGAAAAAAAATTCCAAACGGAGAAGATAAAAATGGATGTAAACAGTGCAGTGTAGTAATGGGAAGTTATGCTTTAAATTTAGGAAGTAGATATATTTACGTCGTCGTAAACAAATCAGTCATACTTTAATAAACTTGCATTTTCAGCACTCGATATTAGCATGGCCTCCCAAGCCGCGGTGATTCCCCCAAGTTCAACACAGCACTAATTAATTTATAATTTTGTTTTTTATTTTTTATTAAACGTAATTTAATTTTCTACAACAGCACAGTATGTAGTTTAATCACTAAATAAATTATTAAATCATTGTGTTAAAATTTTGTTTTTATTCGAAATCATCATTTATTTTGACATGGATTGGCAGGTGGCAGGTTCACTAAACAAGGTATAAAAAAAGTCTTGCATTTATTTAGCATGAGAAGGTCCTAGGCCTAGTTTTGCGAAAAAAAATTCCAAACGGAGAAGATAAAAATGGATGTAAACAGTGCAGTGTAGTAATGGGAAGTTATGCTTTAAATTTAGGAAGTAGATATATTTACGTCGTCGTAAACAAATCAGTCGCATTTTCAGCACTCGACATTAGCGTGGCCTCCCAAGCCGTGGGGATTCCCCCAAGTTCACCACGGCACTAATTAATTTATAATTTTGTTTTTTATTTTTTATTAAACGTAATTTAATTTTCTACAACAGCACAGTATGTAGTTTAATCACTAAATAAATTATTAAATCATTGTGTTAAAATTTTGTTTTTATTAAAAATCATCATTTATTTTGACATGGATTGGCAGGTGGCAGGTTCACTAAACAAGGTATAAAAAAAGTCTTGCATTTATTTAGCATGAGAAGGTCCTAGGCCTAGGCTTATTTTATATAGTAGGCCTGCTAGTAGTATTTTGAAAAGTTTAGGACCTATCTAGGCCTACTGTAGGCCTTTGCTATCCGCAGTATACAGCCTAGGCCTATGCAGCCTACTCTCGCTGTTTGTTTTGTCTGATGGCTACGACCACCATCCAAGCTTAGGTTAGGTAGGCCTAGACTAGATCAGTTTGAAAATCCAATTATATCGCTAATAGATTCAGATGATATGATATAATATAAACATACCGATATTCCTTTGTTTTCAATGCCAAATGAAAAAACATTTGACAGTATGTTGAGAACATCGGAAAATATTGACGTTAAGTCCGCCATTTTGCATCACTCTACAGGGCGCCACCAACAGCGTAAGGACTGAAACTTTTTTTTTACTCGCGTCGAGTACAGTCTGAGTGAGTACGTACAGTACCTGCAAAATTGCCTTTAAATAAACCAAAATAACAATAAAACAAATCAGTATAAACCAAAACAGCAGCACTTTACTACCAAAATGTCAATATGTGCTGTTTGTTTTACTCGTATATTAATGAATAGGTTAATTTCATAATGCTCAGCCCGAATTTCCGATTTTATTATAAAATATTGAGAACCACCAATAAAGAATAGGCCTAATTATTAAAAAATATAGGCCTATATAATAAGTAATATTAAATAAGCACAATCATACACATAACAGGACAAATAACATTTTATTCAAGTTTATTTTTACTTTTGTTCAATAATAATATTATTCATTTAATTTCATTTCAGATTGGATGAATAAATTTTACTTTGACTTGATTAGTCACAGGTCTTGGGGATATGCATATTTTGCAGAATTGGGGGCTTATAAAGTTACCATAATTGCTGCAGTTTTGTAAGGCCCACCCTGGCGTTGCCGCCCGTACAGGTATTCAGCACAGGCCACGTATTTCAAAACATCTGCGTTCAGGTTATTGCTGGTTATTGCAGTCTTAGTTTATTGCCATTCCTACTCCTTCTTATAATGCACAATTAATACAAATGACAAATTTAGGCCATTGGAATATAAATACAACGGTATCTCTTGTCCATTTTAATCCCCCCAGCTTAGGTACAATGAAACTACGGTAAGTATAAAATGCAGATAAACTATGTAATTCTGTAAAAACATTGATTGTATTTATCATTATACAGAAGCAAACAGGCTTGGGCTGAAACATACAGAACATTCGGACAGAATCACTACTACTAATTATTTGAACAAAATACAATTCGTTGTTTACTAGTACAAAAATCAAAAGAGACCAGCAAATGTTTAACAGCCTGTATACATGATAGCACATACACGGAGTGTCTAGAGATGGCGAAGCCCCAATGCGTCATCGTTAGTGGTGTAATTTATTGCATTCAATCTGAAGTTCTGAAGTGTGGATTTACCTGGATTTATCACATGGGACGGAGCACAATCGACGCCGTCTAATATCGTTAATGCCGACGCAATCACAGTATCTCAGATTCAGACCATTTCGATATCATTACGCCAACCTACTAATATTAAAAAAGTAAATCTACTGAACTTAACTTAATGTACAGTCTATATTCTAAAAATAAACTACACATTTATTAACAAATTTGAAGAAAATTTAAATCAACTGTACCGAATTAGACATGATATATAAAGACAGAGATATTGAAATGCATAAACAATGTACATTCTAGATTCACCAAATGGCCTCAGTAATTTGAAAGTTGAGTCGGGAGAAAAAAAAAACATAAGTGGTGTGATACCACGGAACCCGGACAAATTAGCAAAATATTAAAAAACAGCTTCAAATCAGTGTGTTTGTGCATGCACAAGTTGCACAGTTTACATTAACTGCACACACAATGAAATGTTGTCAATCAGTGTACATAATGGAATTTTTACGTTTATGGCAGCCTCAAAGGAGAGTATCATACCGTACTGTTAGACTATAGAAACCTATACGACCGGGTGCAAATTTAACCCCAGATACTTTCTCTCATACAACTGACTTTAGTTTTATAATAATATAAGTAGACATGAGATAAAATTGTATTTATTATTGAAGCATGGACAGGGTATTATGTATATTTATCACATTTTTTATATGGTTTCCATAAAATTGCTACACTTTCGCTATACTGTTTTACTTTAATCGGCACCGCTGTCCACGATGAGATCGGAAGGCTCCCCAATGTGACCAAGGACTTATATGACCGACCAATCAGAACCACCGACAGCTTGTAGCGATTTTATGAAAATCTGACTTTATTTGATCCTGTGTTTTCATTGAATTTTTAGTATATTTTTACAACAGACAGTTTAACAGGATTTGTTCTTGCTTAATCAGGCTGTTTAAATCTATTAAATACAGGTCTTCCCCCAACTAAATACCGCTTTTGGGACCGGGGTTCTTTAGCAGCTTTGGTCTCGAATTAGAATAAAATGGATTAAAGAATAATTAGAAATTTGTGAATTTGGGACCACAAAAAGTGGTCTGTAATGAGGGGTCTTTAATTAGAGGAAGACCTGTAATAAAAAGATGTCAATTCTTTATGTTATCTCTTTCAATTGCTATAAAGTTATTATAAATACGCTGCAATTAGAACCCGACATACAAAACATTTTGAAGTTTGTAAAATACATTTGCACGTAGCACGTTCACATTGGTGTTTAAAATTCACAATGTACAACTCATTTCCTGGGCCTAATCCATCAAAATGAAACAATTTATGCTTCTAACTTTCTATTCGATCACTCAGAAACGGAGATCGCTGATTAAAATAGTACCTGTAAATAACGTCATCATTAAATCTACATCTATCTTGTTATATTATATCCATTTATGTATTTGACAGACCGTACCACTTGAAATATATGCAGAAAAATAAAGAATTTGATAATATATATATATATATATATATATATATATATATATATATAAATGATAATGATAATGTATTGTTTATTAAAGGTTATAGGCCTATGCATTTTATTTTGAAATCAAGTCAATCAAGCAATAAATCAAATCAATCAATCAATCAATCAATTAATTAATCAATTAACCAATCATTTATTCAATCAAATTGTGATCCATGTTATGTCTGGAGTTGTTTTTTTAGAAAATGCTTCGAGGCAATGACGACAGAATATTGGTCTTCAAACGGCGTTTTAGACATGAGATTCTGAGTAGTTCAAATAATATTTTATTAATCACTTTCAACAAACAAGTATATGGATCAGAGACGGCACCAGGAATCCCCCGACTAGGGGTCCAAGCTCCCCGACAGGGGGGTCCACGAACCCTCCCCTCTATCCCAGTCGGTGAACAAAATTAATTTGTTGGGGAAAAATTAAATTTGTTGGGGAATTTTTTTCAATGAAAAGATAATAAAATTTTGTGTTAATTGTGGGATTCTTTATTTAAAAATTATGTCGGGGGTACGAGTCCATCTGTCAGGTGTACTAACCCCTTGTCGGGGTACCACCCCCCTCTCGGGGAAGAGCTGACGCACCACTGCAACCCATACGATCACAATAGAATACCGGTACAACATCTGGCACATACGGTAGCACTGCTCGCACTAAACAGTTTTTTATTCCTAAATCTTGACCGCTAATAAGACATGCTTGAATTGTACTTCCGGCGCTCGAGATTTGATTTTTCCCCGACGACCTTGCTGAAAATTTCCCGACAGGGGGGTCTAAGTTGGGGGTCCAGAGGTCCCCGACGGGGGTCCTTTTCCCTGGACCCCCACTAGCGCTGCCCCTGATAATGATATTAAATTATACCTAAATTGTTATTCAATTTGAGTTATTCCTTATCTTTGACGTTTGAACTTCTTTCGATTAATTTTAATAAAGTCTAGAATAACTTTTATCAAACTCCCATTTAATGTAAGCCTCGCTAATGAATTTGGCTACCGTAGGCCTGTAGACCTTAACTAGCTTTTCATTAAATACTTATTGATTCAGTTTTTAATGGTTTCCTTTTTTTAAATCAAATATTTCCATCTTAAATTTTGCAGTAGTTAAAATCGTTGAAGTTTGAAATATAGACTGGAATTAGACTGCACTTAATGCCAAGCGTAATAGATTTTCGTTTGTGACAAATGCTATCCATCTATACAATGAAGGTGTTGTTAGGTTTAATGGCAAACTATAATACTGGATAGTGATATTTATATTATTGTATTATTTCTCAGCTGTATTTTAGCCTTGTGATACTTTTTGTTGTTGTGAATTTTTGAATTATATAGTTTTTAAGTATTTTTTATTGCATTGTATGTCAATGGAAGATGAATTTTCTTGTTTTTATTTTGCAAGGACAATAAAAGTTATTTATCTATCTTATCTTATCTATCTATCTATTAAAATGCATTAAAAATGCATTAAAATGCACATAACTGTGAATTAAAATGAAGAAAGACGCATTACATAGAATTTTTAAATGTCATCTGTAATTCTATATTTTCGTGAAGAGGATGATGTTTGCCTGGTAGTTCTATGATAAAAGTATGATTTGATCATTTCAATTTAGCAGTGTGTATTGTATAATATTTTTGAATTAGCGAGATGGTGGAGGTAAGTCTAGTTTTATTTCTTTTTGTAAGATTAGGAAAAAAAATAGTCGTTCTAGTCATATATACATTAAAGGTAGAACAAAATCTTTCTTATTTTAAGACATTTGTATAATATGATTTAATAATATACATATATAAATTATTATACGATAAAGAGATGAACTGTAAACCGCCTTGTGGTAATGCTATAAAGTATCCAATAGAATTAATGTATCATGTAAAAGGTGTTTTGAATATTTCCCTAAAGTGAACTTATACTGTAATTGGTAACGATATTTATATGTTAATAATTAACTATTGTTAATTCAAGATTACATTTAATGTGGTCCTAATTTAAAGTTATTAGCTATTCAAATAATGTAATAAAGTTATATGATATCCATATAATTTTTATGTTTAAAGTTATGGGAATTATTAGGCCTATGTTGTTGTAAACATAATTTGACAGTGACTTCGCTCATCTTCTCGAATACCTTCTCAACATTGCATTTCCCGTCTCCTGTCTTCTATCGTTTGAATGTCTGGTAAACAAATGGGGTTGCTAATAATTTGTAGCTATAGCATATTGGTGAAACTAATAGTTTTGGATGTTGTAAGATTTGCATTAATTATGATTGATATGATCAACGTACATTGTTTAATTCCAGTAATCTTCCATTGAACGACGGACTTTAAATGTCGTAGATGAGTGTTCTCGGAAAATAGTCTGAAGCTCGGATAACTTATTTAGGTTAAAAAATTAGAAATGTGAACAGTTTTAGCAAACATCTAC